CGCTGCTCCATCAGCCCGGGCTGGCTGCAGGAGGCACAGGCTGTTTATTGGATGAATGAGCTAATTTTGGGCAGCAGGAAGATGTATTTTAACCTGTGTAAATAAAGACCCAGACACCTAGCACTCCTATTAGCCAAGACTCTCTCACGTGGTGTAATTAATGGTTATAACAGTTAACTAAGCCTTTTTATCTTTTTTTTTTCATTCCAAAACATCACTTTTCCTCATTACAATTTCTATTTCAGCAAATAACCATTGGTCAGTGACAGCTACTTAAAATGGAGGCAAGATGAACTTGGAGAAGCTGTCGATATCTTTGGAGAGATGGGGGAATTTCTAGAGAAATTCAAGCCAAAGAATTAATCAGCAAGTTGTACCCAACGGATACACACCCTGCTCCATGCCCTGTCAGTGAGAGGGCTCTTACAGCAACGCTGAGGAGCTCCCACTGGGTTTAACATTCTCTAAGCAGCACTACAGCTGATTGCTCTGTCCTCTGGATGTGGTATCTAAGGAGAGAATTGGGTACTTCAGAGGCACGGGTAACATTTTGTGATGCTCTACAGCACTGACCTCCTCCTGTCCAGATAGGTGGACGTACCACAAGCAGTGGAACAGCAGGTGAGGAAGAAACACCCTGCTCCAAAAAACAGCCACCACCTTGCGGTGTTAAATCACACCCAGGGGTAGCAGGAGCCAAGGGTCACGTTGTGCTGCCAGTTCTGAGTCAGGGAAACACATTATGACAAGTGGCACTAGACTGCACGGGTTATACACAGGCATCCCATCAAGATAAGCATATTAATGTAGAAAAAAGGTGAGATATAGGCATAAATATATATATATATACATACAGAAGCAGACACTGTATGATTGGGGTCCAGCTTTTGACAGCGATGCAGCCACACAACTAGCAAAGGGTCAGGTGAGACACAACAAATCCCACCTGCACTTCAGGACAAGGCCAAGGAGTTTGTCTGTTTACAGCAAAGTCTACAAGTTCTAAAACCCAGCTACCTACACTAAAGGATCCAGATATGACAGGGAAAATTTCAACAATTTTTCCAACTCTTCGTTCCCCAGTACTACCCAGTTATGCACAGGAACTAATTTACAATACAGAACACTGGAAGTATAAATAGACAATGGCTCTCCACAGCCTCATTCCTTCTAAGTCAATAATTCATTCTGCCTTGAAAGTTGCTGTGACTCGTGCATTGTAACAGCAGAGCAGCAAATATTTAAAGAAAAAACATCATGGTCCATATACCAGAAACATTAAAGAACAGATTTGTTTGCAAGGATGTACTTCAAGTATTTAAGTGGTCACCTCTGTGCACACCAGTCCAGCATTTTGGTTTTCCTTGGGAGCCAGCTGGTCCTGTCTCAGAGATTTATGCCCTTGGTTAGCAGACCAGTTTCTTACAGACTAACCCCCTTTCATCTTGGGGCAGACTGAAATGCTGCATTCTTTGCCACACTACATTTTTTTAGGGTTCTTTCTGAAACACTGTCTGTTTCCAGAGAAATCCTCCACGAGCAGTTTGTAGGTGACAGTGGCTCTAACCTGTGATGGTACCGACACGTTTCAAACACCAACCACACCTCCAGGCTCTCCAGGCCAGGTGCCCCAAGTGTCCTGCATGATGGGACCCCATTCTCTGTCTTCAGTGCAGCTGCTTTCACAGCAGGTCTGGCAAAATGAGACCTGGAGGCTTTGGCTCCACACAGTTGATCCAGAAGTTGGCACAGCTTGCGTGGTACTGGTGCCCTCCATACGCCAGCTTAAAGTTATCTGTTTCTGAATTAAAGGCCTAAAACAACAAGAATTGAAACAAGTGTGACAGTCTCATCTCCCCCATCACCTAGAAACTAGAGTGGAAAATGGGTGCTGCACAGGTATCACCCCTGAATGGCCCAGCATGGCAGGACCCTCTCGCTCTGGGCAGACCTCCCAGTTAAAAAATACTTGATTTTAATCTGCAGAGCTTTTGCAGGTGGACAAAACCTCCCACCTGACTCACACACTCCCTGCTGTGCCCTGTCCTACGGAGCCACTGGAGCAGCACCTGGCCACTAACTCACCTGGGCTCGTGCATCTTCTAGTCCTGCCCCGTGCCCACAGGGGAGCAAAGCTTGCTCGGGCAGCCAGCAGACAGCTACTGCCTTTATGTCCCTGGCACACAGTTTGCTGTGATTTAGGCAGGTGCAGTTCTTGATATTAGTGTTATTTCAGGCTGAATTTGATCTACTTTCTTCTGCTAATTGAATCTGATTTACAGCAGGGGCTTCTGGATGGAGCGTGTGAAGCCATGAACAAGCTTGAAACATCCCCACGTTTGTTGCTAGGAGATACTTTCCAATGCTTCCTAGCTACCTATTGAAATAAAAGTATTCTAACCCTCGTTCCCCACACCCTGGATTTCCTGCAGAGATTTCTAAAAATGTCTACTACATATAGCCAAAAGTCAATACTTGTAGCAAAGCCCCCTCTACAGTTTCCCCCTTCTGCAGCAGACACCCAGGCAGCTACAAATCCAGAAACTCACTGCAGTGAATTTTCCACCACACGACAGAAGTAGCACGAAACCAGAGAGCTATTCACAAGATACAAGCATGCAGACAAGACAAAGGGGAGACTCTGGAGCATGTTAGTTGATCAGATCAAGTGTTAACGGTCACAAAAAAATGACTAGAAGAGGAGGACTAATGATTGGTACAATTGAGAATGACAGCTGAAAGCCAGTCAGCAGTTCAGCCTTCCACACTCAACTAAGAATGATTCTATAAAGAGTATGTTTTGTTACAGATTCATACTTTTCTAGGAAGCTCTTCCACAGGTTTCTCTTCATTCTGAAATAACGTTGAAACCAAAAAGTCAGCAGAACTGCCAATGAATGTTAAGGGTTGGCATGACCCTGTAGGTACCCTGGGATTCCCTCCCAGCTATGCTAATTGTAGCAGTCCCCTCCTGGTGATCCTCAGAGATGCATTTCTTAAAGAGAAGTCATTAAAACATTTTTATTTAAAAAAAAAAAATAGATACACTTTTGAAGTGTTAGTATCCCAGTTTCTTCCCCATTATGAACAGTTTAGCTCAACCCTTCATCCACATCTGTGTCACACCCAAAGCCCAGGGAATACAGGACACTGAGGCCCATCTACAGGTCAGACTTTGCCTTGGCCACTTCCAGTTATAAATTATAGCCATGAAAAAAAATTAAATGAGTCCAAGGCCCAAATTAAAGTCCAGACTATACATTGAAAATGAGTTCAGCAGCAGAGGCTGTTATACTTACTTTACTTCTTGAGTCCACGTTTAGGAGGCACACTCCACAGGCGAGATCTTGGGCGTTTTTAATCCCTGGGCGCAGCATACAGGAAGAGAAATCCAGAGAGTTCTCATCTGGCTGAAGAAATGAGACAATAAAATTTTCAGTGACTGAAAAAGTTTCAGGCATGATAAGAATTATTGATCTGGTCACCACTGAGAGCCCCAGTGTGACAGCAGGGCGAGGTGACAGGGATGGCATTTTACATCCTCTCATCAGCCGGCGCGGGATTTCACCCAAGCCATCAGGCTGTGGTTGCAGCTCTGTGCTGCCATCCCCACCCTCTGCATTCAAAACACTCCAGCTCTTGAAAAAGGGTTCCACTACAAAGGGAAGAATTCTTAAGTCCCACATTCCCACATCAAAAGGGGAAGAAACTTCTGAGGTGAGAGCCCAGGCGGTGGCTGCTCCGTTGAGGGAGATAAAGGGAGGGATGCAACAGCTGTTTGTGCAGCTGGGAGGAGCCCTGCAGGGCCAGCAACGCTGCCATGTGCCAGCAGGAGGGGGGGTCTGCACCCATGGTCCCTGTCCTGAACAACCCGTGACTGCCTGCTCAAAAAAGGGCAGTTGTTTTTCTTTAGGAAGGTTTTTCTGAAGCTGGAATGTGGCAGAGCGGTACAAAAATGGGATATTAAGGTTAAACAAAGCACAGAAGGATTAAGGGCACCAACCATACACCAGCTCAGGTTAAAGAGAGGCAAAGGCTGGGGGAATAAGCCTGCAAATAAGTAATAAATTAATATAGTCACTTTTCCAGTACGTAATCTTACATTTCAGCCAAAAGATAAAGGATAATTCAGACTTTGCATAAGGGCACAATCAAACTGGTGAAGTTTTGCTTGAAGCTAGCACTGCAAAACCAAACAATCACCAGAAATGCAAGAAGCTTAAAAAAAAATATGGTGTGGTCCTAGAACACATGGACTCTTAATCCACACTCTAGATTCTGATCATGCTTCCCCTCCGAATGGCTGGAGAATAATTGGAATCTGGAAAAAAACCACCCTTTAATCTTTAAGTAGATCAATCAAATTAATAAAGGCACTCTAATATTTGTTTACCAAATGCAGGAGTGAAGCAAATGAGAAGGTCATCCTGTAATTTGCAGTGAAAAACCACAAGGCTGCGCATAAAATTACCTTGTAACAAAATCCTTTAAAAGATAAAATTAACCTTTCCAAGCACATGCCTCTGAGCTAGAATACCTCTCTGCACTTAATTGGCATCTCTGCATCATTTGGGATCCATGACTGGTAGGGTTCCACACCTCCAGAGCCCCAGTGGAGAAGAGGAACAGGGAGGGAGGATTCCTGGAGCTCCTGGAGTCCCTGTCTCTTCGATAACTCCAGAGGCACCGTGTGTTTGTGCACGTAAGAGAAGTCATTATTCACAGCTCCTGGCATGTTTAGAATTTATCTGGACTTCTGCAGCACGCAGAACACGTGGCCAAGCTTTGGACCTTAAGGTAATCCCTATAATCTTCCAAGGAGAAGCACTTTAAGAACTACATTTTAATCCACTCGCTTAAATCAGGAGCAGATTCTGATAGCTTTTTGGATTGTTCCTGTCAACAATGCCAGAGTTCAAGCAGATGAATCCCAGGCTATCAACTTCATCTGCCAAGCAGTAATATATTGAAAATATAAATTTCATACCATGACAGGCTTTGTGCAACACAGGACATCACCAGAAGTACCTGCTCGCCACTGCTGTTTGTACTGGAGAGGTCTAAAATGTGTAAAAGGTGTGTGAAAAGGGACTGATTGTTTATAATACCTGTTTTGCAGGGAATGACAGTCAGCTGAAGATGGGTAGTTCAAGCAGAAAGCAAGGACTCTGGGCCTTACTTACAACCAAGTGTTTATTGGGAAGAAAAAGTCTTTATTGGCCACAGCTGCCTTGCAAGAAGGAAGTGAGAAATGGAAATGTCCAGCAAAAACATAACCACGGGCATGATCTGCTTCCTGATGCTTGATGTGATGCACTGACACCACCTAAGAGCTAGAGACTCCTCAGGTATCTACAGAGTTAAAGGGATCCATTATGCAAGATGGTGTCAAGCACCTAGAGACACATGATTTCCTAAAAACATGAGAGTTTTGCCATAGTTAAAGTAATTTTGCACACAGTATCTCCTGCAACATCCATACATGAAAAAGTGCAAGGTGTTTAAAGGCAAGGTGGTTTCCCTGCTTTCTAACGGTGTGTATTCTGCACTCAGCCCCAGTTTGTCCCTCTTTTTCCCAGTTGCTTTGCAGACCCTTCCCATGGGGGGCTCCTTCTCTTAAAGGCCACCCCTCAGACAGTCCCTCACCACCTCTCCTTGGAACACTCACTCAGTTGTGTAGAAAGCTCTCAAGCTCCTACCAGACTGCCTTGGAGCAATGGAGCTTTTCCTGGCAGTTGTACTCAGAGCAGGAAAAGCTATTCAGTCTGTGTTGGGGACCAAAACAAACTGAGGCATTTCCAAAGGCAGAGAGAAAGGAAACCAGTTTAGTTATTCCTGTGTTGCTACATTGTGTGCTCCTGCCCTGTGAGCATTAAAACTAATTGCAGGGATGTTACAAAGACAAGACACATCCACAATAGTCTGGCTTCATACAGTGGCTTAGATTTTACTAAGCTTCCCTTATTGGAGAGGTCCATGTATATATTGGATATCAGACAGTAAGAGAACATCATGTTTGCATATAAGTAACAGTTTTCTTACAGAAAGCATTAAACTGGATTTCACAAATAAATGAATTTCCATTTTGTGAAAGAAAACTACAAACTGTAAGGTTAGGACACCCTAAATCACTTTACATAGAATCAGGACATCTCTGCTAATAAAAACAGCTTATTTGTGGTCTTACCGTTAAAGCAGCAAGTGACATGAAGCTGATGAGGTTGTTCCACACTTTATCAATATCCTTCAGCAGTTGCTGGAGTTTCTCACTACAAACAGCAGTTGCTTTGATACCCAGTTCAACTCTCTTTGTTACTCTGTAGACTTCAACAACCCCTGTTGATACAAAGCGCAGGGGAGGATTGCAGAGAATTTGCAGCAACCACAGGTTCCTGAAACTGGAACTCAGAAACAGCCCAGGGCAGGCATGGCAAACATGGACAGTTATTTCAAAGTAGGAGTTACATTTGTTTAGCTGAAGAGTTACTTGTTATTTCCATGCAGGCAAAGATCAAGCTGAAAAATAATCCCATTTTGGAAAGAGTGATGATACATTAGTGGTTTTCAGAGGAGAGTTTTCAATGTAAGAGACATGGGAAATGAAAACATACCCAGTAAATATTCCATGCCTTGAGCAGACTGGATAACTTCAGTGCAAACAGATGAACTACTTATTCCATTTAAGGTGTCATTTGCTTTCTTTATGACCTGGTGAAAGTGAATTTCATAAAATAATGGTATTATCTCCCGTAAAATAATTACTACAAACAAGACTGTCCCCAACAGGAAGTGTTATACAAAAAAGGTGGCAAATTAAGTAAGAAATAATCACAATACTCCATCACGTTTTTAGATATTCATGCTGTAACTGTAAGTAGATCAGAGGAAAAGTGTGAACACTTAAAACCGTAAAGTATTCCCCTGAATATTTTCATGACCAACAGAACAGTGGTAGGAGTATTCATGCAACACTATCTAGTTTAATAATAGCATTCACAGTTTTGGCTGCCTAATACTCAAAAGCAAAGAAGAAATTTTAAGGAGAACCAACGTGGCTGTGAAACATTTGAGGCCCAGTCCCAGGAAGCTGATGCCCCATTACACACAGGGCACATTCCACATGCCTGCTGCTTGCAGGCAGTGCTGGGGAGCCAGATGCTGGCGTGGGTGCCCCAAACCATGGGCCAAACTGGGCACCCTGAACACAGGAACACCATGGTAACCTGTTAACTTGGAAGTTTAGGCAAAAGCCAAAACTAGTCACAAATGACAGGGAGATTAGGACAGGGTCTTTAACTTCTGCTGCTGACAGCTTTGGGTTTAAAACTGTGCTCCACTCAGGCTGATTCACAGCCCTTCTGTGCCTGCATGGTCTTAAACCCTGGATGAGGTGGTACCTACAGGAGGAGGAGGTGTCTGAGGAGGCTACACACTTACCTGCAGGGCACTCTCCAAGCATCTTTGCCATTCATAAGCATACCTCTCACTTTCCTAGCAGAAAGAAAAGGACAGTCTGAGTCTGTTCCTACCCACACTTCCCTTTCTCCTGTCACAACACAGAGCAGACAGGTACTGGAAGAATTTTGCAGAATAGCTATTTAAACTTCTAGCATACCTGTTGCTAATTTTTCTCCCATTCTTTAAATACCCTCTTTGCACCTGAACTCTAAAATTTGGTTGCTGGGAGTTAGAACTACTTTCAAAAGGAAGAAGGTCTATGAATAGGTAAAACATCTGCACTGCACATCCCTGCTCCTGACACACTTCTTGCAGGTCTGCAGTTCCAGAAACCGGGATTAGCAGAATTTAACCTGAGTCCTTTTACCATCAGTTCTCAAGATGAGCAAGAGAAATAACTACCACAGCCAAAAAAGTTAAGTCATTTCCCAAAGCCAACAGTCTCAGTGCCAAAGCTGGGATTATATTTAAGGCATAACTAATTTGCAGTTTACAAGCTTGGGCTGCAAGGTCAAGTGATTCTGACTGACTTTCAGACAACAGCATTTTCTTCCCCACTTCACAAGGCTTCAAAGTCAGGAGAGAAGAAAAGTCCTTTAGGAGCATTTTCCAACCAAAACATCTAACCTTACCCAGATGCCCTCTTAGAATCCTACCCTAAATACAAAGAGCTGAAGTCCCAAAGAGCTGGGATACAGAACACTCCTCGATACCACACTGAGTAGAGTCATACCCAGTTTGCTTGTACTCCAGGTAATTCCTCACCTCAACCTCTCCAGTCAAGTCTTTGTATTTGTCTCTGATGACAGGCAGAGCAGGCTTCTCACTCAGAGTATTTGAACGATCTCTAAATGGCTGTTCCAAAACTGGTAAAGGTGAAGAGCGACTTATTTCTCGGTCACCTAGGCTTAGGCTCCTTTTATGAGACCCTAAAAAGTTAGGATATAAACCAGTTAACTCTTTTACTGACAAAGGCACAGGCTCTTTAAATCACAAAGTAGCAGCAAGTGAGGCACTACTAACTCCATAAGAACAAAGCCTTCTATTTACTCAGCGACTGGAAAGAATTTCCCCAGTCCTTAAATTCTTACAATTTTCAGGCACAAAAATGTTTTTCTTCTAGGAAAAGACCTGCTGCAAACACAACAGAAATCCATGAGAAGATTCAGCTTGTCTCCAGTGGCCTCTGGAACAGTGCCCACTGGCTAATTTATAATTTGATTAGAAAAATGAAGGTTTGATAAGCACATGCACGCTGAGCCTCCTCCACCCTGGGCAGGCTTACCTTGCACAGACAGGTCAAAGGTGGCCAGTTCACTCTTGATCATTTCTTCACTGGATTTCACCTTCCCTTGGGAAGTTGCCACCAAGAAGTCAAACTTGCTGATTTTTGGCTTTTCACTTTGGAATTCTCCAAAGTCATCTGCAGATTCTCTTTGCAGTTCAGAAGAGACACCACTAGCCAGGGAATCTGTCTCTTGGTTTGTGTCAGCAGCTCCTGCTGCTGCATCCTGTGCTTCTGGTGATGGTCTTGCAAAATCACCAAAGTCCCCAATGTCATCGTCACTGGGACCGCTGGGTATTGCTCCAGAGTCCTTAAAGTTTGCAAAGGCTGGGAAGGAAACATCCTGTAAAGCATCCTCACTAGAAAAGGTTGTCACTTTGGAAACTGTTGTCATGGTAATGTTTTCTGAACTGCCAAACAAAGTCTCCTTCTTCTGAAGGACAGAAGTAGCCGCAGAGGATCCACTTCCTGAGGACTGGACAAAGGAGGAGAGCTTCTTGCCCTGATGAATATCTTCTTTGTCGGACCAGTCATAGCTTGCCAGGCTGCTGACTGCAGACCCACTGTTATAGCTTCCAAATGGGGCACATTTTAAGTCGTCTAGATCTGGGAAAAACAAACCCCTACAATTAGAAGCTGAAGTAAAAACATTAATCTATCAGCACCGTATAAAACCAACACAACCTGCAAGAGTCTCAAAGAACTGTGAGAACACACACAGCCAACTGTTGTTTCTGTGAGGCTTAAACTTGAGTTTGCACAAAAATAATCCAAGAGATAGCCAAGCATTTAACACAAACATTTCTCCATTTAATAAATGTAAGGCTTGACCTTTGAATGTCGTCTTTTAAGCTGAAAGTCACCACCCCACTACGGGCAGTGAAGAAACACTACAAGAAAAGCAAGGTCCCCAGAGAGCCCAGCCTGCACAGATCACTGCTCAGCTCTCTGATGCTGAATCTACAATCCAAATGTAAACACCAGAACTCAAACATCTTATCGCATTATTTCATCTTATCAAAACCAACCACACAGAAGACTGGGCTAACTTCTCCATTCCCTCCCACAAAATATGAATACACTTTAATTTTATATTCATGCTTTGATACAAGTAACGTATAAAAATGTGCTGCAGGAATTTTTAAACGCCAGGAATTCTGTTGAGGCTTATCAGGGTTAGTGCAGAGCCAAGCAGCTGATGCTTCCAACTCACAGGTTCCAGGAACGACAGGAATATTGCAAAGACCTTGTTTCAGCTCTTACAGACCATTTATTCAGTTAAGTGTAGGAAAAAATCCAATTATTTTGTAGAAAGCTCCAAACATTTATACTCACCTGGCAATGATATAGGCCAATAGGTTCTTCTCAGTGCCAGGGATGGGATCTAACCTGGTGGCTTAGAGCAGAGCCAGCTCAGGAGCCAGCACAGTGACCAGGGTCTGCTGGGCTCTGTCCACTATTCACTCAACTGATCTTTCACGTTTAGCCTGAGATTGATCTGTAGCGAAGGCACAGAGAGCCAGGGGCTGGGTAGTTTTCATTAAAGCATTAAAAAAAAAAAAAAAGAGCCCCACTATACTACATTTGGCATTTGTTTTCCAGCATTAACAACTGTCAGTTTGGATTAGACATTCAGCTGCTGCTCGGTGCCTAGGGTCAAACGGGCTCGAGGTGAAGCAAACCCAAACCAGAAAATACATTCTCTTAGCATCACTTCAGCTGAGTCTCTCCTGCTAAACACGATGCTCTTAACTGGCTGCCACGTAGCAGCAGCAACTTGGGTTTAACACAGCCAGGGTGGGAACAAGCTGACTTTCCAGCTGCCCTCTTTATTCAATCTGGCCACCCCAGCCTGAGATTAAAGCATTTTAACAAAGCATTTCTGCCTTCATCTATTCATTTTAAGGAAGGGCAGAGCATGCCATGCTTTAGGCTGCTTTCCAGGCATGACCCACATACAGGACTAATTAAAAAGTCCACCAAATACACGATATAATGACAGTGTTTAACAGCTACTCCAAGGAAGGCCCTTTGCGGCGGGTCGGCGAGGGCGGCCCGTCATCCACCAGACCTGAAGGGATCGTGTCCTGCAGCTGCTGCATTTGCACATGACAGCAGCTCAGTAACAAACCTGAGTGCCTTGCACATACACAGCAAGCTCTCAAAGTGCCAGCCGAATATTAAATCTGTAGAGCAAGCAGTTTGCAGAAGGGTAAACAGAGGAGCGATGAAATCACCTGCTTATGGCAAAACTGAGCAGAAAGAAGGCTCCGAGGTGAAAAGGAGCTGACTTGCAAGGGATCAGTAATTTATCACAAGAAACCACACCTTGTGCTCTCAAATAGACGTTTTTGTTTAAAGGAGTTAAATGAAAGCTTCACTAGCATTAGAGAGAGTGCCAGAACAACCTCCAAAACGTTAGCCAACTGTAATTAATCCTGAGATCTTGAAAACACCACAGTGTACTAGGCAACCTTTTTTTTTCAATCTGTGTTTTCTCCAAAACTCAGCAAAGATTTAAGCCCTGGTATTGTTTCTGTGTTCACCAGGAAATGAAAAGAAAGAGTGATGACCCTGCTGTGAAGATCTGCAGCATCTATTGTGAATGATTTCTGCGATGGCTGGTAGGAGCTGGAGCTGAAAGCACATCCTGAAGGAGCAGGTCAGCGTGCTCCTCCTGCTCCCACCCCGGCTCAGGGACAGGCAGGATCAGCAGCAGGCTGTGGGGGGAATCCTGAACTCATCACGCTTCGCCTGCAATCAGCAGGACATGGCAGGGAAGGCAGAACAAGATTTTAATTATTCACAAGCTAAGATTCAAGCCTCTCGACGTGAATTCGTGCAGACATGAAACCCATCTGCACAGGGCTGAGATGAAATGTAGTAGCTTAGTCCTGTACATGTTAGTTATTTGGATAGTTGCAAAAGGATTGCTCTGGTGAATAAACTTTCCTAAGAGTATTATATTACAGGAAAAATATTGTGCTCAAAGAAACTTTACAGCTAAAGCAGTCCTAAACCAATCTATTAAAAAGCATGAAAAACAAGAGTGTATGTGGAACTGTCCATAATCCCAGGTATAGTAGCTTGGATAAGAATTCTTATTCTATTGTAAAAAGCTGCTGTTTGGCTGTGCCATGCACCGTGCTCCACAGAACCACTTGCCACACGTTAGAGGTTTTGGAATGGAGAAGGAAAATCCCAACCTTTGCCATAGCTACGCAAAACAAAGGGCTCCTGGGAGCCCTCCCAGATTGGCCGTGTGAGGAGAGCAGCTTTCCCCCCTGCTGGGCAGGGCAGCAACTCGCCACCAGGCTAATGAGCAAAGAACGGTTTACATGTGAAAAGCACTTCCCAGCTGACCCCGGAGAGCTCCTCCTGATGTGGCTGTCTTTATTACCGGCAAAAAGATTGTTTTATTAACCAATCCTCCAACAGCCTTTTTCTTAAACACCACAGATACGTGTAATGAATAAAAAAGCTCCAGTTACAATACTGCAGCTCTAGCCTCTGATGGAATAAAAGCTTCATTCGTTCCTATCACAGTCCAAAATTTAAGAAGGTGCATGTGCATCAGTTAGTATTTTTTCTCAAAGCAAGAGATGATTAAGTGGAAAAAAGAATTCCTTCTAAATAAGCATTCCCAGTTGGTGAAGACAGATGCTACAGAGTTCCCACATTTCTTCCTGGAGGACACTTCTGGGAAGAAAATGCTTTGTTTGGGGGACATGTAGTATTCTGTTGTAGGGTTAAAAGTGATTTCTTAGTTGGCATTTTTGGGGAGCATACAGGGAGTTCCCTGCTGAAGCAAATCCTGAACCAGTTACGCACTAGGAAACCCACAATCCTACCACAAGAGCCAGATCAATAAAATACAGTGAAATGTATCTTCAAACCCCAGTATTCCTTAGTAATCTCAGTAGCAGTTCTGTGGTATCTTTCAGAAATGACATAAGATTTGAGTTTAGTTTTGCTGTTAAAACCCAAAAGCTCTTACTCCCCATAGAGTTCAAGGCCCACGTCATTAGCACCATCAGCTTTGCACTGGGGAGACCATGGAACACGGCCCAGGGTGCATGTGTTTGTTAAAATCAAAGATGGATCCATTCAAATACCACATAACCACACCTTTTTCCTTAAAAAAATATTTTCTAGTGGGCCTAGAATGGAAAAAGTGATCTTAACTGTGTCTTCCTGGAGCGCAGCAAGTTTCCAAAAGCTTCAGCAACCAAACCCAATTTGTATCTCTTCCAAAGTAAAAGGTTTGAAATATTTACTGTTTACTTTCCATCCATTCTGAACTCTAAAACCTTAGTCCAACCTGCCTGCTCATCACCTGGGGACAGCAACAGCTACATGAGCCAGCCACACTGCTGCTGGAGAGAGGGAAAGCAGCAGCTGCCAAGGAATGCACAGGAGAACACCGACAGAGGATGAAATACAGCTCAAACACCATTTCCCAGTGTTATCTCATCTACAGAAGAACTGTACATCCTTCATTGAAGCCAACTATAACAATTTATTTCATCTACCAAGGATTAAGTTATGGCTGGAGGCAATTTACAAGCTGAAGCCTTCAATGTCAACAGCTTAATCATTTAAGGAAAACTCTTGACAGCGTTAGTGATATTCTAAAGCAAACTGAAAGAGACAGTTCAGAAGGCTGTAATATATTTGGTGATTTTGACCAACATGGGAGACTTTCAAATTTTTATACTTCAGTTTACATTAAATTCCAATGGATAAACACAACTCGGGTGTCATTTTTTGGTTGTTAGGGTGATACAGGCAGGGACAGTGGGACAGGCACCACCTCCTCCCCTTGCCAGTGGGGCTTCCCCCAGTAAAGGTGGAGATGAAACAGGAAGAATACAGAGGGTCGTACATACTGCTGCTACCTGTGTCAGGCCCATCAGCAGCCAGAAAAATCCAAAGCCCATTTCTCAGCTAGTGAAATCTGGAGAGGTGTTAATGCTAAAAGGAGTGACTCAGTTCCCTCGTGCTGAAGAACAGCAGCATCAGGTGCTGCTAAGGTGGAAACCACCAACAAAGCTGCCTGTAAGATAGATTAAAACGAAGGGAAAAGCAGAGGAAAGCCTTCAATTCTTTGAGGAATTAAAGAATTCGGTAATTATTTTAAAATTCTGATATCAGCCACGTTTGACAGCAGAATGAGCCCCCCTGAGCTCGCACTGGAAGCAGACAGCTCAGCTGGGTCCTGCAGCAGCTGCTGCTGGGCTTGGCTGCTGCTCAGGAGCCACGTCCCCACCCTCTGCAGGATAACCAACTGTTGGGAAGCTCTTCTACTTCCAGAATTACACTAAATGAGAGCAAGTGGGTGAATCTGACTGTCAAGTCTGGACAAAAATGTAATAAAATACAGAGCTGTGAACATTACTCTCCCTCCTCCAGGTATGATTAGCTGAACAAATACTAATAGCACGAGCCTTGCTGAATTAAATCTCTCAGATTTACGTTCAAGCCTTCAGTATAAAAAGCTCAAGGGCTAGGCATAACCTCCTGGTTCTCCACAATGAAAGAAGGGTGGTGTTTGTGTCTTTTTATTTTAATTTTGTTTTTTCCTTTTAAAATCTCTCAAGATTGGTGTAAAGAAGAAAAAACATATTCTAGTTTCTGGTCTGTTTTTCCTCTTGTGGCAAAGAGCTACAAAAACCCAGTTTGCACTGGCCTAATGCTTTAACTTCATTCCATACCTCCATTATTTTCTGCTTGTTGCCTTGCCTGCTAATCTGATGTGAATCCCAAACTGTTACTGACCCAAGATTTGGAGGAATTCAAGTGACATAACTCCATGGCACAAATTTGCAGCTGTCATTTGTGTTTGACAGTTTCAATACTTTGGAAAACAGCAGTTCCCAATCAGGAAAAGGAAGCAGGGCCCTTTATTTTGGGGCACCAAACTCACTCTAGATTTGTTAAATAAATATCAGACTACTGTTTAATGGACTCCTACTCATACAGGCCTAGACAGTGACACATTTTCCAGCTGGTCCTCTTCACAAAGGCTTATCATAACCTTGGCTGGCAGCAGGGAAATCCAGATGAGGAGACAACAGGACAGAGAGAAACATTTTTTCTGTCTTCAGCCTGAACTATTATCACACCCTCAAAACCAACTCACAGAAATGACCCTGCCGTCCACACATTTCCTCTACTGAACCTCAAAAAACTGCTCTTTTGAAAAAATATTCTTTATCTTGGTATGTAAGGTTTCAGAAGTGCTCAGGGAGCGAGGGCACAGCGTTGGGAGAGGAGAAAGAAGCTCACCCACACTGCTCTGCACCCACCGCTGCTCTGCAGGAGGAAGGCACCCGCCAGCTTAAGGGGATACTATAACTTTAAACTTTGTGTTTTTCAGGAAAAAGAGATGCAATTGCTGGTTTGCAACAAATCACACACATCCCCACATTTTCAAAATATGCCAAGATAATATTTATTAACACAGCAGGACTTACAGATCACGAAAGATAGTGATACACAGGAGCTCGTAAGGGCGTTACCAGAGTAAAGCATGCAGGTCAATACTTGCAGCAGAGAGATATCAAAGCAGATCTGAGAAGGCACATCCACACAGGAAATGTTTAGTTGAAATTAGACATTAGAAAAGCAGAAAAAAACCCTGAAGTTGATTAAAATATACAGAGATCTCCAAGAATGCCAAAGGAAAAGGTACTTTACAGCTCTGTAAGTGCAGCAAATGGATAACCCTTTGAGAACAGCCTGGCGAGGGGACGCTCTCGCTGCAGAGTTTGGCAGGACACAGAGCAAATTAGCTTTGTGTAACAGGACTAGGTGCTAATTAAAATGCTTTTATCTCAGAGTGAAACGTAAATTTAGTGTAAAAGAAGCAGCCTGGTAGAAATGAACAGCATGCAGCCAGTGCTCAAAGGGTTATACGAAGTAAATGCAAGAGAAATCAGGCAACATTAGTATAATTTCCTTCCACACAAAGAATTATAGCAAAGTTTAAAGAGACAGTATCCCCTTTGCAGAGAGCAAATCTGAAAACCTTCCTTCCCTCAGAGACCAAAGTCAGTCATATGGGAAGCAACTCAAGGGGTTCTTTCTGCTTCCCAACATCAGGAACCTACCTGGCTATACCTGAAAGCTACACAAGGTGAAATCTCAGAGGATAAAGAGCCCCGATTCAGAGTGTCAGAAAAGTCACATCGTGTCTGAGCACCTCTGTCCCACTGCTGCTTCGTAGAGGTGTGACATGGTGCTTGCAAACATACAGCTCCCAGTGACTAGCCTCCCATTTCTTAGCAGTGAGGACGACAAAGGGATACTGTCCCTTTTTGACATTAGATTTACAGATTGGAGAAAATAAAGAGGAAAAAAAAACAAAACCTGCTTTCTAACTTTATGTAAACTGAAAAAAAAGGACTTGAACATCAGCAGCTGATAGCTTGAAATGCATCAAACACGCACAAGGGAACACAGAGATATCCATAACAGATCGGCCAGAGCACGCTCTGCTACGAAATCCAGACAGAGCTAAATGGAGTAACACTCTCCCTGTGGAAAAACAGCTAGCTTGGCACCGTAGGAGAATACAGACTTGTTTAAGTTTAATAAAAATAGCTTCTAATTAATACCTCAGAGTTCAAAAGTTTAGCAACAAGCACATGATGGGCTAACCCCTTTAAACAAACCCAAAAAAGTCTTTCCTGCCCCAAACGGCAATTATTAATCACTGATTTCGGTGGCAAAAGCTCACGTCCTGTAGAAGAGCTACATAAGTCAAACTACCACCAAAAGAGGCTAGAAAAATATTAGGAAAAAAGTGCTTTCAAAACCAAAGTAAACGTTCAAGAATACACTGTAGGTGCTACGTTTTTGACAGCTCGCTCAACTTGGAGTTTTACCAAGCAGGAATATGAAAATTAAACCTCTTTGCTAATAAATTATTCCTGATATTTTGTACCCTGTTATAGAGCATTCCCACGTCAACGTTGGCAACTTAATCCTCTCCCCTACTTAAAAATATCTAATGCAAAAACTACAGTACTGAGTATTTTCTCTGCCCATATCTGCAAAAACAGAAGAAATATTTCGTATGGAAATAACGAATTCTTGCAGTAACAGCTTTTACGTGTCCAGTTCATGTGCTCCTCCTGCTCAGAAAAGCCTTTGACTGTGTAATACGAGTTGCCAGAACACAGTAATGGTTCCCAAATTACTGAAGGCCACAGAACATTTATCTACATCTTATCTCCCTATGTACATGTGAGAAGAAAAAGCAGGACACTTGGGAAGTTGGTTCTACGATATGCGATCAGGTCGGAGGTGGTCAATCCGCTCCCTCAGGAGCACCTTCAGAAAGGGAAATCAAAGAAGGTGAAAACCTGATCAAGTCAAAGTCCCATGGTTTTAAACTGAGGCCCAGGAGTTACCAATCACGAGACGCACGTACAGGCCCTCTGCACAACTATCCCAACGAGGGAGCTAACTCTAAAAAGTCTATGCAGCACTTCTACTTGTGCTCCTGCAGACTACTGGCTGGGCAGATGAAGCCCCACCATAACAGGAATACACTGGTGTTGTTGATGAGACAGCTCTTCATTAACAGCACAAATTAATGTTTTGCCACCCTTTCAGAAGCACAGAGTGGGTTAATTCCCCAAGCCAAACGCTTTGTCGAAACCAAGAGATTAAAGTGAGGCTCTGCCATTCATCTTGCTAATATAAATGGAATGACATTGTTTGCATTAGAAAATTTTCCACTCGAATCCCTTAAGTGACAACAGCTAACAGGTACCAGTCATATGATGTTGTTAAATCTGAAAAATAAACTGGCATGGAGTTCAAACTGTTCAATCTATTTATAGTCTTCCAAGGCAAAAAACAAACGCTGCCCTGCTGAGGGGCTGTTGGCAGGTGCCCGGGCTGAGAAGTCTTTCACTACCCAAAGACCAGTGCACAAGACTGGAATTTAGCACACAGAAGAACACTGAAATCTCCATCCCCTACGTTACCAGAGCAATCTAACCAGTTCCTCACCTGCTGCTGGTGGATGCTGGCCACTAACTGTTGGCAAATCCAAAGAGCTATCAGACATGACATGCTTAAGATCTCCTCCCACATCAGCCAGTTTCATGTCAAACTGAACAGACAAGGCGTCTTCAGAATCCTCCTTGCCAACACTGCTGCCACCAATAGAAGGGAGGTCCAGAGACTTCACCGAAGCAGAGTCTTCTTTGGCCTGCTTGAAAGCTGCAACTTTGTCCACCAGGGACTTATCTGCGCTGTTGCACGTGGAAGAAAACTTGTTGGAGTGAAAGTCAGCAAAATCATCATCGCTCTTCCCTGAGGAAAGCGTGCTGTCCTTCGTCTCCTCAAAGCCTGCCCCGGAGCCCTCCAGAGAAAGCTGTTTGAAGATATCATATTTGGTGGGTGTAGCAGTGGTGGCAGAACTCTGCCCACTCTTCCCCGTGCTGGCAGATGAGCCAGGCTGAGGAACAGGACCGGCCTCTAGCTTAAGTGAGTTGTACTTGTCATCTGCTTTTTGTTCGGAAAACCCACCGCTGTTGTTGAAAGCCATAAAATCTGCAAAGTCGTCTTGTCCACTGGCTGATGGGCAGTTAGAAAATTCTCCAAAAAGGTTGAACTCTCCAAAGTCATCAGCTACGCCTGAACTTTTGCTGGGTGCAGGCTGGGCAGTGGTAGATGGAAGGGGTGGTGGAGGAAAGGAGCCCGATTTTGACGTATTGAATGCAGGTGGAAACGATGGCTGCTTGTTTTCTCCAGCAGAGGAAAAGAGATCCAAGTCTGCTAGATTCAAAGAGGTCTTTGCTTGTGTTTGCTGTTTTGACTGAACGGGCAGAGAAGTAAGTTTTGTCTTTTGGAGGTGGCTCTAATGGTGAGATACTGTCAGCGGTTTTAAAATCTGTGAAACCATCATCGGGTCCTGCAGGCTTGAAGTCTGTGAGGTTATCTCCTGAGAATGAAAACAACAAAAAAACCATAATAACACACAAACAGATACATCATACTCACACCATGCAAGCAAGCAAATTATTTCATGCAATGTCAGAAGTTTTTATGCAAACTATTTCAATTAAGACCTCGGGATGCATGTAGAACTGCAGACTCCACTTCTACACACCACACAAGTTTCAAGGTCAGCAATTCTAACATTCATTCCAGCAAACACGTCAGCCTTTAAATAGCCTCAAAGTCATATTAAATTCCCTCTACACTGAGTTAACACCAAAATGCACTATGACCAACAGATTCAAAAGGTGGTCAGTACTGTCTCATTCAGCTTCCACCTAAGTTGTTTTTCCCACCTCATCCTTCCTGTGTTTGCCAAGCAACGAATGTCATCTTGAATTTCACTTAGACCAATACAGTATTTGCTTTCTCTCAGAAGCAATTCTGCCTCTCCCTCTGAAATATTGCTCAAATATAGTTTCTTCATGGGGCAGGAGCAGAGGGCTGAGACAAAAGCAACCCTGCTGGGAAGCTGAAAGGGGAATGGTGGAGACACCAACCCGACTTGCCTAACGGCAGGAGGTATTTTTGGAAAAAGCAGCAGGCAGGGCACACGCCTGTCCAGCCAGCCATGAGGGGCAACCCAACGGGTGGCAGGGACACAGACTGGAACAGAAATGGCAATGATCCTAACGTCTTGGCTTAGAACATTTTTAAGCTCTCAATTGAATCTGACACATTTTCCTTCTGCCTGTAGTGTCCAGTGATCAGAACTTCAGTAAGCACAGTATAACTGAGGCATCGTCCAGCTTCTGCTAAGACTGATTCCAGTTTTACCAAGAAGCTTGGAGGCAACTTCCACATGAAAGTGAGCGTGATTAATCGTAAGATGTGCACACCTCTAGTTCAGCTACCTACTTCAGGTAAGACTGTGCTGTGTAAGGACAATTTAAACCTGATTAAACATTAGGCAACAATGTTTTAATTTAATTTACATTAAATATTTTGGTGTACTAATGTTATGTTTCTTCCTGCTCGTACACAATTTTTTTACAGAGCAATTTCTTTTGAACATGAAAAAACGTGGACTTGTTTAACCCATTCACCAGCACGTACACACTTAGACTACTTGCAATTTTAAAGTGTTGATGTATACTTTAAGTGCCCAATAAACAGATTTTGTTCTATTTCAGAAGTACACTGCTAACGTTTAATTCTGAAGCTACCACACAATGTCATACTTTAAATTAGTTGAACCAAGATTTAAAAGAACACTCTTTATAATGGTAGTAAAGGACCATGACCATATCTGCCATAATCCTTCATCCTCTCTCCCCTCCAAGTAATTCCCTTGTCCCAGTAACAAATATTAATGAAATTGCTATTCATTATCAAAACTAAAACATCACAGCAAACTAAACTTACTGATGAATTGCAAGCTTTTCCATTAGAAATGTAAGCTGGTGAAAGGGTTAAGAGTGGTCAGACCTGAATAGCAGGTAAATATAGAAATCTTCTGTAGTTTAGAACATATGTGGAAAGAGATAAAATGTTATTTCATTTCATTGCATGCTTTTAATCCTGAAGGGGTGCTGAGCACAAAAACCTCACTAAACATTACAGGAGTTTCAGAAACTCCATCTCTAAAATCTTTCTTTCTTTGAAACAAAAGGGATAGGAGTGAGCTCAGGTAAACAGATTTATTCCAGAATCCAAAGTTGTTTTCTAATAATGGAACAACCTGCTGGGTATAACACAACTCTGTGGAAGTCAGGTTAAGTAAGAAATAAATTTATCTTCTGATCTCTCTGCTGATAATATATGAAAATTAGTAGAGTCAGAGATTTTTTTTTTTCCCCCCATTCAATTAAAAAGATGAGATTACCACATCATGCATAAATGAGCTGGCCATAGATGGTGCCAGAAAAGGCTCAGGGAAACTCTGCTTTTGGAACTACACAGATGCTGCACCTCAGATGCCATCCAGGTTTTACTTTTCTCAGTCAAAACCAGTTAAAACACAAGTTTCAATATAAGTGATTAGATTTACTCTTAGAGAACCAGGGACCATAAAAAGTAGAAATTCTGCCCTAACAACAGAAACAAGTTGCAATTTTGACCAGAAGCATCTTCTTCTGTCTTCTAAGACTACATGACTCCTTAGATAAAGCAAACAAATACCAACCTAATTGTTATTTTAAAACAAAACTCAGAAAAACCCAGAAGAGATGTCAATAATCTAGAAATACAATTTGTAAATTGTTCCAACAGCATCTGATACTATTTTTTTTCAGGATAATTTCTGCTGTTTAGAGAAGCAGAAGCAACATTATTCTACAACTCTAGCACAGGAAATTCTGCAACTCCGTGAGAACAGCTAAAAAAATATAATGAAAATATGTTGAAACAGCTCCAAAGAACATACTGCTTACCTAAATATTTGCTCTCTGATGGTTGTTCTAATTCACGGAAAGCACTATATTTGTCTCCACAATCTAGTGAGTATGAGAAAAGAAATATATTTACATAAGGATATTAGGAAGTCATACCGTAAATTTTATATTGGCATAATTGCTCTGATTTTAAATTATTAGTATGTTATCAATGTGAAAACCAAGGTATATGAAGTATGACAATAAACTGCTCGTAGTGGTTGTCTATTTTTTCTTTTACCTCCAAAAGTAGCTGTATTTTCAGAAGGCTTCTCAGCTGCAATCCCTTTAAACACAGCATACTTATCAGTCGACGAGAGCGTCTTGTTACCTGGGAGCGGCATGAGTAAAGGAGGAACACTAAAAGCAAAAGAGATAAAAGCAAAGTTCCTTAATGTATCCGTAAGAAAATCTGTGTTTCCAGGTTTTATTTAAAAGAGCCTCTTATTATCACTACACAATTTGGATCACTAAACCTAAGCTTGTACCCTAAAGAGTTCTTAAGAGGAGACGTAAACTACCTCGACAGCAATTAAGACTAAGAGCATGTGAGCAGGCAGCCCAGTAGCTGATGGGTGAGTTTGCCCTTTATCTCACCTAATTGTATTTCTTCAGGCCAGAAATCAATTTTCCCCCTTCCTGATTCTAAATTGTACTAAAACATGAACAAAACACTCCAAGAGTTTACACCACAAGCATTCTCAGCCCAGGAAACAATCAGCACACAGACACACCCCAGAAAACTCTGCTGTTTAATTTATCTCTTTGCCCAGGGCCGTGTAAGGACAATTCTCCCAGAGAGAACTAGCTACAGTAAAGAGTTAAAACTCCACGTGATTTTACCAGCTCCATACCTTCAGCTTATCTCCTTTGATTACATTTCATTACACGTTGCAAAATTAAGAGAATAAAGCGGAAGCGCTGTTCAAAGGGAAGGAAAGGATAACTGCATTTTGGTCGGTGCAAATCAGCAAGTTTAGGCAGCTATCTAATCAGCAAAATGAGGATTACTCCAGAGTTACACAAGTAGATCTTTTTGCACATAAACACACTGTACTGTATATAGTAAAACGGCCATGCTAACACCACGTTAGCAACTGCTGCAAGATTTAGGAGACATTCTGCAAGAGCTTTACCCGCCCTCCACACAAGCCCCTTATCAGACTTTGGCAGCTCTACAGAACAACATCCTTTACATATGAATGATGCGTTTTACCCCCAGTTTGTGTCATTCAATACTATGCACGTTGAAAACGTGAATGAATTTCTGGGGCGTTCTTCGGCCTGAAGCAAGAATCTTTCCGGAGCCATTTAAATCTCCTTATCAGCAGGCTCCAAGCAACACACCAGCCCAGCGCTGGCACACGCCTGCTGACGATGGTCTGCGACCTGCCGAGGGGCAGAGCCATGTCAGAAAACACAGCTTATGGGAAGGTAATTAAATTTCACATCCCTGCAAAACAGGCTGCTAGATAGGCGATCTCGGCAAACGTACCAGTTCCTCATCTGTGCTCCACAGATGGCTTTTTTTAAAATAAAGCTCCATAAGCAATTAGATTATCGTTCATTGTAACATCCTGTTCAAAACTGAATGCTTTTACAACTGCTGCAGTGAAAAAGCAACACCATTTTTGTTTGGTTTTTTTCTTTTTTGTTATGATCCCCTAACTTCCCACTGTGGAATTTACAGACGACATTCAGAGAATCACACATACCTTCAGACAGCTTTAACTGTAAAATGACATCTAATAGAAAAAAAAGATATACTTAAACCAGAGATCTCCAGATGCACATGGCACTGACTGACACCAGCAAAGTTAAATTTCTTACCCAGAACACCACTAGACACGGTGTAACAGAACGATGTGTATTAGGATCCCCATCTGATGTCCCTGCTGAGGAAGCAGCTGGTGATCAGTGCTTACCTGGAAAGTGCTACTTCTCTCTGCTGCTAAGAACAGTCACTTCAACACACCAAAAACCTGTAGTCTACACACAGACACTTGGGAGGTACAGGAAAGTTTGCCGTGTGCAGGAAAAGGAAACAGCACTGAAATTTTCTAATCACAGGACTTCGAAAGATTAATTGTAAACTCTCAAAGGGAGTAAACGTGCTTGCTTTTGTTACACAAAATTTGCCTGGTCTGGGATTACATTTTGGCAGTCTCCCAAATGAAAAGCCAAGATTGCTGGAGTCTGAATGAGACTGCAGTTAAGATTTATAGCCAGTTATCAAAAGCTTAGGCACTGGCCACAGAAACAATAGAAATAAAACTTCTGTCCACTGGAGTTCTTGGTCATTTAAGAGTGTAATGTCATAGTCTTTGTGTGAAATTTGGAGTCCATATTGAGGGCATGAAGAAAGACCTTGATGTCAGCAATTGGTTTCTATCAAATCCAATAAACATGGGTCATACCTTTAATGGAAGCACACAGCACTGAACACAGAACTCCTCTGCCCTGGCATATTTTTTCTGAGCAGCTTTATGTAAGATTTTTGCCTGAATGCACAGTATGAAGTAAGTTTCAACTGCCTGTGCAGTAGTATAAACACTTGAAAATCTATCTCCATACCTTGTAAACTCAATTTACCTCAGCATGATGACTAGAACACTAAAGAATGGCCAACCACCTCTGGCACATCAAATGCCATTTTTGATTCAGAAAGCCTAATTGTAGTTGTAACGACCTTCAAAAGAAACTGTCAGAGTAGAAGTAGTCAGGTGACAGGAGAAAATTACAGGCTAGAAAGCTACCCACAAAAGAGGAAAACATTTCATTTCTTAGAAGAGTTCTAAAATACTGAAGGGGTGGAAATCCAAGATCTGGTACCTGCTCCGCTGCTGTGAAGTGGCTGCTTTGGAGGAGCCAGCTACGTCCCCTTGGAAATCAGGAAAGGAGTCATCCAGGGAGCCAGACTTTGAGGCATCTTGAAACTCCTGGAAGTCATCATCCTCTGGTTTTACTACCTGAATTACAAACAACCTATAAATTCCTATACTGTGGTTTTTTTCAAATTGTCATCTAGCATGAAAGCAGTTCAAAGAAGCATGGTTGACTTAAAGAGGGAAAAAAAAATAAAAAGAAAGAAAAAAACCTGTCAACATTAGCACACAAAAGTAGCCTGGTCAGTGTTTCCATTTCACCTGCACCTCACCCAACCCAGAACACACACAAGGTGCACAGGGTTACAAGTAGCATGCACAAAGAACAGGTGAGGAACTCCACTCCTTTCACATTACATGTATTATCAATCATAGCCATGTACTCTTTTAATACAGGACAAACGGTAATAATTTAAATCAACCAGTAATTGAAAATCAATGAACACAGCAAAAGCAGCAGAATTTTTTCCAAAGAAGGATGAACTGTATCTGAAAACAGCAAATTTTATCCTGCTCATAATTTACAGCATTGTCAACCAAAGGCTTTCATAGTTCTCTGCTACTCCTGAAAACTATGACTGGTTTTACCAACTAATAGTCTGTTGTGTAGATTAAGCTAAACTTCCATTTTATGTGCATTACAAAACATGAACTACAACTAAAATTCTCATTCGATGCAATCAGTGTCTAATGGGGAACCTCTAATATCACCAAAAAGAAACAGAGAAAATAAAATAACATCTTTAGTGGCGTGACTTCATGTTTTCAGCTGTCACAAGCCAGCTCCATTTTTTCTGTTTACTTGAAATCCGCTCTCACTACATG